CTCACTGATGCACCTGCAGCCTTTCCTGCTGCTCTAAACATTAAAATAATTATTTCATTTTCTGTTCCTCACTTCTCATTACCTTCAATGGTGTCTGTTTGTTGCAACCACCAGGTACAAAAACAAACTTGTTTTTATTTGACTATTTTTCTGTTCTGTTTATTATCTTCCTGCATCTCCTCTCAATCCTAAAGAAAAACAGCGGAGTGCCGCTGCTCGCCAGCCGACTACAACGGGACCGTTTTTGCTGCGGAGTTCCTGCCGGAGCGGAGCGGAGATAGTGGAATTTTGGGGTTGCGTCACCGGAGAACAAAACAGGTGATGTGCCTCGCTCCGCAGCAGCGAAACGCATCAGGCACAAATAACAGACAGAAAACATGAAAGGAAATGAGCCGACATGAACGGTCGCATGTTTAATTTGTTTTTGAGATGCTGACACCTGATTTGGCGGTGCTCAGAACGCAGATGTCTGGAGCGCATCAACGATCAGAGCTTTGCATGCGCAAACTGGTTAAGATTAGGATGGTGGTGAGGGGAAGGTTACATTGCAAGAGGGAAAAGGTCACAGTTTGGTTAGATGTCTGTTTTACCGGTGGTGTCAGTACCGACGCTCTGGCACAGCGCGTCGTCTCCGCCTCCCGACGCAGGGGCTCATCACCTGCTGTCTTTTCCGAGGACTGCATCTTGTCAGTCATTATCACGTGACAGCGACTAGTCGATGACAGGCATAAAAAGTCACTACAGAGCCGTGAAGTCGACTAGTCGACTAGTTCATACAACCCCTAGCGGACGCTGAGCCAATCTGTCGTGGTGAAGAGGGAGCTGAGCCAGAAAGCCAGGTTCTCGATTTACCGGTCGATCTACGTCCCAATCCTCACCTATGGTCATGAGCTTTGGGTAATGACCGAAAGAACGAGATTGCGGATACAAGCGGCCGAAATGAGTTTCCTCCGTAGGGTGGCCGGGCTCAGTCTTAGAGATAGGGTGAGGAGCTTGGACATTCAGGAGGGACTCGGAGTAGAACCGCTGCTCCTCTTGATCAAAATGAGCCAGTTGAGGTGGTTTGGGCATCTGGTCAGGATGCCTCCTGGACGCCTCCCTGGGGAGGTGTTTCGGGCATGTCCTGCCAGCAGGAGGCCCCCGGGTCAATCAATCAATCAATCAATCAATCAAAGCTTTATTTATAAAGCGCCTTCCGCAACCCTGTCAGGAAGCCCAAAGCGCTGAACATGGTACAGTTGTAAGTAATTATATTGAATAAATCAACAATAAAAGAAATTCAAATTACAAAATACAAATTACAAAATACAAAATGGAAATTACAAAATAGATGAAACATTCTGGTAAAGGACAAATGTGTGAAACACATTTGGATTGAGTGGATGGATTGAGTGTACCAATGAAAACTGTGGAATGGATTCAACATATAATGGGCCATTCCCATCTGTACCGGGTCGGCCCGGGCCGGGTAGCGTAGGTTTTTTACATATCTGGGTGGCCTGGTATTTTTCCGGGCCAACCAAGGCTCATTCTCAGCCCTCTTCTCGAGGGGGTCTGCTTCAGGCCGACCAGGGCCAACACGCCCACTGCTGACAGCAAATTCACACCTTCCATTAGAGCAAGCCTCTGATTGGTGGGTAGAATCAGCCCACATGGGCTTAAGACAAGGATGTGTGGAATCAACCGGGCCAGGCTGGGGCCGACTGGGGCTACCCGGCCCGGGCCGACCCGGTACAGATGGGAATGGCCCAATAGAGGGCCATAATCAAACATGTTCTGGAAACGCCAAGCGGAGGAGGTGTGTTTTTAGGTGATTCTTAAAGACTGTCAGAGAAGGGGACAGCCTAACTGAGGGTGGCAACTGGTTCCAGAGTAACGGTGCTAGGACTGAGAAAGCCCGGTCCCCACGGGTATGACACCTAGACCGAGGGACAGCGAGCAGGCCTTGGTCAGAGGAGCGCAGAGCGCGTGATGGGGAGTGTCTGTTCAGGAGTGTGGCCAGATAGGGGGGACCACCACCCTGGAAGATATGATAAACAAAGACGAGTATTTTGAATTGTGAGCGATAAGAAATCGGAAGCCAGTGCAGGGAGGCCAGAACTGGGCTGATGTGGTCCCGTTTCCTGGTCCCAGTCAGAAACCTGGCAGCGCTGTTCTGCACAACCTGTAGGCGACGCAGTGATGACTGACACAACCCTGCATATAGAGAGTTGCAGTAGTCAAGCCGAGAAATTACAAAGGCATGCAGTACCCGCTCCAGGTGGGCTCTCGACAGCATATGCTTGATTTTAGCAAGGCGTCTCAGGTGAAAGAAACTGGACCGGATCACAGAATTGATGTGAGCATCAAATTTAAGTCCTACATCAAGTTTCACCCCCAAACTGGTAACAACTGGTTTTGAGTATGGAGAAAGAGGGCCAAGATCAGGATAACGATCCACATTCCTGCTGTTGGGGTCGACCCAGGACACGTTGGAGAGGTTACATCTCCAATCTGGTCCGGAAACGCCTTGGGGTCCTGCCGGAGGAGCTGGTGGAGAAGGCTGGGGAGAGGACGGTCTGGAGTTCCCTAGTTGGGATGCTGCCCCCGCGACCCGGATAAGCGGAGGAAGATGACAACGATGATTTTTATTATTAAACCCAGCAGTAGAAGACAGATTGAATTAGGCAGGGCGCCTAACACAGACCCATGGGGTCCCCCCACTTCAACAAGGCCTCTTTGGAAGAGCAGGTGCCCATAGAGATTGGATACAGCCTTATTCTAAAATCTATTACTCATTTATTTTCCTCGACATATTTAATGACAATGTGAAAAACGGGTTTTTGGGAGATTTTTTCCAAATTTATTAATCACATGTCCAGGGGCCCACCTCACCTCACCACACCATGGCCCGAGCCCTCTCACAGACAGCAACACACCAGAGGAGTTGTGCCCCCCAAGTTTTTACAACTTGATCTCCAACATGTAGAAATCCTTGCAATTATTCTGCCTTACTGCCACTAGGCGACGCCAGTTCTTCATGACCCACTTCAGTCCCAGGAGCAAAAAATAGACACGTGAGAACTGTGAAGGAACAGGCAAACAGGGTTCATGCTGTGAGAAGGATCAGGAGGTGTGGAAACAGAAGACAGAGTGGGAATGAGAACATCTGAGGTCTGTCAGAGGAACTGGGGAAGACGGTGCAGGCTGGGACGAACAGCCTGAGCTGGTTTCTCTGAAGTCAGCACTGAAAAGCAGGCTGGCACACACATGCAGTCTCATAAGTGTCAGAGCTTCATTCACAGACAGTAGATGTGCACGAGGCTTGTCCTTATGCAACACTAGATATTCACTGCATACACAGCATAGGGGCTGAGTCATTTTCATGCAAAGCTGTCTCTGACAGGTCAGTATCAAACTTAGCAGCAACCATTTTGCAGCTTGTGGTGACGGCTTATAGAAAGATATATGCTCCCCTCTGCTCCCAGTCATAAACCATCCATCTCTTGGCTGCTGCTTCACATTTAACCCTTTGATGCATAATGGTCACTACAGTGGACAGGTACTCCAAATTGTTATTTACGGTATTTATTTTTGCTATTAAGCACACCTGTTGAAGACTTTATTGCATGTGAGCCCCTCCATTTGGAGTTAAATAAGTCAAGCCAACATATTTCATGCTCAGAATGCACGCTGTCCACTGAGCTGGACATGTAATAAATTATTTGTAAATTAACAAAATGTTACAAAAAATATTTGTTGAAATTTGTTTCATTCACACCTAAAGATGAATTAAAAAATTGTTTAAAAAATCATGGTTGAAGATTTCATAATTCATGCATCAAAGGGTTAATGGACACAAATGGGAGCGCTACTGATCCCCTTTCTCTGTGAAAGAAAGTTCCGTTTATCATCAAATGTCAAAGTGTCCCCCCAATGATTCACTGCAGACTGACAAAACAATGTTTCTATTTCAGACTCACAAGTATGTGAGTGAATTTCTATTCTTTGGGTCTGACACGATTGGCTAGCAGGTGAAACGTCTAAGTTTAGCGTTTAGAGTTTAATATTGTTGGCCTCTGTTGGTTTTTAACATCGGGTTGGTTCTATTTTGTTGTTGTAGATCACTGCATGTGTGGGCCTGGGTGTAGTTATTGTGTTTAGAAATTTTGTGATGCACAACCTGAAAGTTTTACTTGGAGTTAGGTCAAAGTCCTTCCCATAATGGTTTTAATAAACTTTTTATTTTATTTACAGTTGGACTCCATACAGCTAACATGGTACAGGTGTAACAAATCAGGTTACCATTCCACTTAACTTAATTTAATCCATCACTTCCTACATTTAGCCTGTTTTGAAAGTAATTTATCATTCAACATTTACACATTCAAGCTGAAGAAAAGCAAGAATATATATAGAAAAAAATCAAAAATATTTATTTGGGAATTCCATCCTCTGTAGCAGACAGATTGTGATTTTGTGTCAGGAGGATTAAAATATGTAAGGCATTAAGTGCCTCCACCCTGTTCCACTCTAAAGCACCAGTCTACTGGGAAGCCTTGTAATGATTCCTATAAAATAAAAGCATATAGAAGCAAACATGTTCCAAGTACTCACACAGCACAAAACGTTATAAAAGACTGAATAAATGAAACATTCTTTATTTAACCTGCTGAGATTTATTTTATTTTGCCTAGCTATGTGGGAAAAATTAGTTTACAGAAACGTACTAAAATCTTTTTTTTCTTATTTCAGCAATATTTCAGAAAAATAATCCACAACAAAAAATTCTGAAAGAAAAAAAACAACACATGTGCTTCTCTTAATGATAGTATGTCAACAGAGAAGAATATTATGGTGCATTAAACTAACGTCTTTATACGAGAAAAGTTGGTTTTATATCGAGAAATAAACATTTAATACCATTTGCATGTATATATTTATCCGTAAAAGAATTTTACGGGAAGACTTTAACTTTGAAAAAATCCTGACCGGAAGCTGCTTTGTTATGGCCATCTTCACGTCAGTCACCTTTTCTTGATCCCGACCCGTCAGCCAATCAGCGGCTGCGAGGCACACACGTACGGAGACGATAAAGCCAGGAACCAGGCGGGCTGCGGCCGCTGCCGGGCAGGAGGAACAAGGGAAGAGAGCCGCCCGCTCCAGCCTCCGTCCATCTTCCCCCACCACACGTCCCGGCTTCGAGGCTCGTATCGTCTTTCCCCACACTTCCCTCTTTCTCCGTGTTTGTACCGAACGGTCGGTTTACCTGAACGGAGGTTTTGTCGGGGCGTCCCGGTTCCGGAAGCCTTTCTGGATGCCCTCGCTGGGAGACAGTAGGTAAGTCCGGGTTTCTGCCCGCTTAGACGGTGACCACAGCTGCCACGAAAGCCTCCGTCGCTTTACTTTGTGGGAAAAGCTGTTGAAACTTTTTCAACCGAAACAGCGACACCACCGAAAACGACTCGTCCGACCGGAACAAGAACTTCCAGCTTCCGAACAACATAAGTGCTTTAATCTTTAGTGCCAGGCACACCAGAAACGTCCTACCATTGTACATTTAGTGTTTTTATTATATTATAATCTAACGCTGTTATAATTATTAATAATAAAACGAATCTTAAACTTGTTGAGCGGCAAGGACGGCTGTAGCTGAACTGTTTCCTGACCCAAAAGTTTTACAAGAACTTGATTTCTAAAACATTCCGTGAATGAAATTACACAACATCAGACCCACTTTTAGGGATTGCTCACAGCATTTATGAATTTCTGCTTTTCCCCAGTCTTGCTTCATTCCTGCTCGGATTGGATGAAAGCAGGGCATGTCATGTGCTGAACTGCAGAGCGGCTGTAAGGACTAGTTCCTGGAAGTTTTGCTGTTGCTAAATCCCCTGATTCCGGGTAGCGGTGGTCTTGTCTCAGAGCCCGGGCGCAGTTCCTGTGCCTTTGCCACAGCATCTGCTCTGCCCTGCTGGGCTTCGGTGGGCTCCTGTTCAGATCCCGTGTGATAAAGGATTGTGTGGGTGGACCAACACCAGATGGTGAGCTGGAGAACATACTTGGCTGATGTGTTCAGGGCTGACGGTTGTCTTTGTTGGGTTTGTTCTCAGCTGTGGATCACTGTAAAAACAAAAGGTCACTATGATGTCAAGTAGCTGCTGTACTTTCCCTAGGATAAGCAGATGAATGTGTTTTTCCAAATTACATTTTTTTGTTTCTATTTTTGTGAAATTTGCATTTAAAGCAACTGAGCAGACTTTGTATGAATGTCATTGAAATTCATTGTAGCCACATTTTACCAACTATATCAATTTCATTTTGGTCAATAATTTTAGCATAAATCACTATTAATAAAATAAAAACACATGCTAATCACAGAAGAACCATGTTACCACCATCAACATAAATACTGGACATTTAATGTATACGTTTTTGTTTCGAAATGGGAGGTTCCCACCACTGCCACTTTGACCGTGTCACACGTCCTGTCACGCCCAGACAATCCAAAAATGGGAAGAGGGGTGGGGCTGTTATGGTTGGAACCATCAGTTGGAACAACTGTAGCTACTAGCTAACTTGGCTAACCCAAGAAGCTGAGAAAGGCCTCCGGAGTAGCCGACAGGCGCCTGTGTGAGGCTGTAGTCGTGCTGGTTGCCTCTGGAGATCTAATGTGGACTGGGACTGTTAAATTACAAGAAGAACCTCAGACCATTGCAATCGTAGCCGGACGCCGTGGCTTCTACCCATGCTCCACATTTGCAGCTCAGTGGGACATTAGCTACATGCCAACCTGAAGCCAACAAGGTTTTTCTGGGTGTTTTTGGCAAGAAAAGCACGGTAGAGCAACTCAAAAGTAAAGGCATCTCCGGCCTGCTTAGTAACGACATCATAATTAGGTAAGCTGACTAAGGATACCGGGCTTCACTGGTCCACCGCGGTCAAAAACCCGCGAGTCCGATCCTGTCGACGGTCCCATCTCTCGGAGCGGCGACTCGGCTTTATGTTGAGCCACAGTGGAACAGCAAAACCCAATAGCCTCTGCTATCCTCGGTCAGATATGTAGCTCAGGAGGCCATGATGGAAACTCTTTCCCCTGTTGCTCTATGTGAGCGACTGTCTACTGCGGCTGCTCATGCCAGCTGGTATACACCAGATGGTGGACCAGAATTTCCTCACAGCCATATGGAAGTAGCTCCATGGTCTCACCAGACTCCTCCCATGCCTGGGTCTTTGCCTCCACAACCACCCGATCCGCATTCTGCTTAGACTGCCGCTACCCATCAGCTGCCTCTGGAGTCCCACAGGCCAAAGAGACCCGATAGGGCTCTTTCTTCAGGTTGACAGCATCCCAAACTGCTGGTGTCCACCTGCGGGTTTGGGGGTTGCTACCACGACAGGCACAGACGATCCTGCAGCTGCAGCTCTAGTCAGCCGCCTCGAACAATGAAATGCAGAACATGGCCCACTCGGACTCGATGTCTCCCGCTTCTAGGGCTGCAACGATTCATCGATGTTGTCGACAAATATCAACAATAGAAATAGTCGACAATGGAATTCATTGTCGCCAGATGTGTTTTTTCCGACCGAGTGAGGCATCTCACTTCATTACAATTTCTGCCGAGAGTCGCACATGCGCAATAGCTTTTCTGCTGAGCGCCAACTAACAGAAATGGCGGCGTCCAACACAGCAGCTACGCGTACCAATACTTCTAAAGTTTGGGAGTATTCTAGCCGGGATTCGGCGAATAAAAAGATGACTTCCATTATTTGCAAAGCAGTCCTCGCGTATCATGGCAGCACTTCTGTGATGCATGAACACTTAAAGAGAAAGCACGTCGGGACAGTTGAATGAAACGGAGTCTGACTCTCCTCGGTAAGATTTAAATAACACGAAAGCCAACACGTTTTGTTTTGGGTGTACATTTTTGTAAACGTACTTGGCTTTTAAAAAAGAGATTTAATGTTATGCCTGACTGTGCCTGACAAAAGTATTTTAATTTTATATATGCATTTGTCTATACTGACTAATTGGTGTTAGACATTTTTATTTACTTTAGTATGAATTGGCCTATCAGCAGCAGAGTTCAATAAAATATGCATTTTCCATCGAAGAACCCATCTTTCTTTTGTTATCATTGTTCACATAATTAAAGCAATCTCATGCTAAATTTAAGAAAAATTTAATAATTATCCGATTAGTCGACTAATCGTTTCAGTAGTCGGTGACTAGCCGACTATTAAAATAGTCGTTAGTTGCAACCCTACCCGCTTCCCTCGGGATGTGTTCGAAATTCTGTTGGAGGTTCTGCAGTTTGGCGCATAAGCACAAGCCACAGTCAGGGCCCATCCCTCCACACGTGGGCGGAGGGAGGCCAGCCCCTCATTCACCAAGGTAAACCCCAACGTACAGGCACCAAGATGGTGGACAACAAGAATGCTCACCCCTGCTCAGCACCTAATGGTGGGAGCGATTCCAAAGTAGTAGAAAATCCAACTCAAGTATACTGGTTATGAAGCCAGAGTTATGCATTGAGGGGATTTTAACGGTATCTAGCCGGAACCGCTCAACCTTACACACCAACTTTGGCTCTTTCCCCACCAGAGACGTGACATTCCATGTACCGAGAGATGGCTTTTGTAGCAGAGGATCAGACCGCCAAGGTCCCTGCCTTCACACACAATGCTTAACGACCCCTTTGGCCCTTGCCACAAGTGGTGTGCTTATGGAAAGGGGGACCCGTGTCTCCTCTTCAGGCTGTGCCTGGCCGGGTTCCATGGGTAAAAGCCTGGCCACCAGGCGCTTGCCAACGTGCCCCAACTCCAGGCCTGACGTGATAAAGATGAACAGAACAACACAGGAGTCTCGTTGATGATCACCTTCCACAGCTCAGAGCCCAGCCCCAGAGATGCAGGTGTCCAGCCTGAATCAATGAGCATCAGAGTGGAGCAAACTGAGTGTGAATTATTGTAGTTTTTATACACCTTTTCTGCCCCAAAGCATGAAGGTTAACAGCTGACATATTACTTTGCCATTGGAGGAAATAATTCTTTGTTTTTTTGGCTTTTGTTGGCCTGTGAAAAGATTTAACCTACAGTAAGAAAAGACCTTAAAAAGTTACAGATGGAAGAATAAAATAGAGATCTTTAAAATTCACGGACATCATATTAGGGATGAGCCGGATACTCATTTCAGACGAGTATCTGGTACGGATAAAGCATTTTTGACGAGTACGAGCATGAAACGAGTAAAACTCGTAAATATCTGTAATCGTGCTGACGGAAAATCCTCATTGGGTAACTGACTGTCTTCACGCTCTGTGATTGGCCAGTCACATAGAGCGCCCGCCCCTCCCTACACACAAAACCCTGCAGCCGGGAGCTCACAGCCCAGTCCGCGTCCGGTCCATACACACACACACACACACACACACACACACACACACACACACACACACACACACACACACACACACACACACACACACACACACACACACACACACACACACACACAGACAGTAACGGATCTCTGTGCTTGCTTCACTGTTCACGTTTCTTCAGTACTCCCTATGTTTTCTTCAGTTTGCTTCTTTTTAAAGTTATTTAAAGTTACTTTTTTCGTAACGTACGTGGTGCATTTGACGAGACAGAGCTGAAAACTGCTTGTGCTGCGTCAGTCACTGCCTCCGCTCTGGTTGGGTTTTTTTCTTTCCTCTCTCTCCTCTTCCTCGGGATCCACTCCCTCTTTCCTATTCACTCTCTCTTTCTGTACATTTGTTAATCACAATTGTCTATTTTTTGCTCATTTTAAATATATTTTAATCATTTTCTAAATTCTTTTTTCAATTTTACATGTTTTGTTTTTGTGAAGCGCCTCGTGACTTTTTATCTTGAGGTGCTATAGAAAAGATCTTTGCTTCTCTCTCTCTTAATTCATGCACTTAAATATTAATGTTCTGATTTTTATTGAAAAACTTGTTCTGTAATAGTTCCTTTACTATTGTGATCAAAAACATTTAATCTTAACTCTGAGGCTGCTCTGTAAATAGTTTTCAAATAAACAATACACATAGCAACTTCTGATCAGACTTAAAATAACGTATTGATGTAAACCACACCCACTTCCGGTTAACTACACACACTTCCGGGTTAGGCCACGCCCACTCTGAGTACAGAAGCGGATAATTTAGATGGTTGAACAGATACAGATAGTGGTGTACTCGCTCATCCCTACATCATATGTAAAATCCATGGCACAAAACAAGCGGAATTAGAAAATAGCGTTTTTAGCCCCGTTTACTTGCATTACAATTTTTTCCTTCTTCCGGGGACCCGTGGTCCGGAAGTAGATGGGCGTGACCTAGGCTCCCTGTACCTCTCAAGTACTGATTGTAAACATCCCATAGGTACTTGTACTGAAAAAATCTTATTGAGTGCTAAATATGGGTACTTTCTTAATAAACTGTCCCTGTTAAGCCTGATTTATGCTTCTCCGTCTGCGTCAGTGCGGAGCACACGCAACGCCATTATCCGTCCTTGCGTAGGGATCTGGCAGGCACGCACTCGAGCCCACTTTTTTAAACATCCGTCGAACGAAACGGATTATGCAAGCTTGTGATTGGTCAGGACGCCGCTGTTGTTTACAGTGCTGCCGCCATTGCAAAGAGAGCCGAGTTTAACTAGCGGCAGACACGGAGAAGCTTGAAGAATGCCTCGCGAAAAAAACTCTAAAAATATGAACGTTTAATTCTCCCGTGACTGGAGGAGTGAAAAGATGCGCAGCAAGCGCTTTATTTGTGGACGGAAATGACAGGAAACTTGGGTTTAGAGGTGGGGAGTAGGGTTGTCACGGTATGAAAATTTAACCTCACGGTTATTGTGACCAAAATTATCACGGTTTTCGGTATTATCGCGGTATTTTTTAAACGGTGTTGCATATGTTCAGAAAGCATTGATAGTCCTGTTCTACACAAACTGAAATAGTTCTGAAAAGGTTTAACAGTGTTTATTAAACCTAAAATAACACAAAGCCTTAGCAAAA